TTCTGTGAACAAGGGCATCAAGATCATGATGGGGAAACCTACAGTGACAACCAAACCAAACCAGTGGGAACTCATGAAATTTAGATCACCAGCTGTGGAGCCTGCATGGGACTGGACTAGGCTCTCTGCAGTCAGACAGTTGTGTAGCTTGATCTGCTTAAGGGGCCCCCTGGCAGTAGGATCAGAATCCATCCCTGGTGCATCAGCAGGCCTTTTTCAATGATGGGACACCTCACATAGCCTTGAAACAGGGGGAGGGGCCTCTACTAAATGTACCTCCTCATGGGAGGCCTCACCTTCTTGTAGGAGGGAATAGGAGGTGGTTGAGAGGGGGAGGCTGGAGGGGTGGGAGGAGGAAAAAGGGAGATCTTTGGTATGTAAAATGAATAAAAAAATTTTTCTTAAGAAAGAAAAGGAAACTAATTGGATTCTTCCTCATATTGTACAGGGAATACCAATTTCTGGAGCCCTACATTCTATACTTATGCAAACAAATCAGGAAAGGCAGGTTATAAGTTAGGAAACTTAAGTAAAGTGGCTTAAAGCCTTTATGATTCTCTTCAAAAGTCAGAATTAGGGGCTGGAGAGATGGCTCAGTGGTTAAGAGCACTGCCTGCTTGCTCTTCCAGAGGTCCTGAGTTCAACTCCCAGCAACCACATGGTGGCTCACAACCATCTCTAGTGGGATCTGATGGCTTCTTCTGGCATAAAGTTGTACATGCAGATAAAGCACTCACATACATACATAAATAATAATATCTTTCTTAAAAAGTCAGAATTGCCGGGCAGTGGTGGCACACGCCTTTAATCCCAGCACTTGGGAGGCAGAGGCAGGCTCTGTGAGTTCGAGGCCAGCCTGGTCTACAGAGCGAGATCCAGGAAAGGCACAAAGCTACACAGAGAAACCCTGTCTTGAAAAACAAAAAAAAAAAAAAAAAAAAAAAAAAAAAGGTCAGAATTATATGCTACTCATATGGTATTATTAGATTTCCCAGAACGTCTTAATATAGTTATTGATGTTCAGTATGCAGAAAGAGTTGTTTTACATATTGAAAGTGCTGAGCTTATTCCAGATGATTCAGAATTAACTTTGTTATTTATTCAATTACAACAAGTAATCAGAAACAGAAATCATCCCTCGTTTATAACACATATTAGATCCCAGGCCCTCTAGCACAAGGTAATGATGAAATTGATCAACTATTAGTAGGAAATGCATTAGAAGCCTCAGAATTTCATAAGAAGCACCATGTTAATAGCAAGGGTTTGAAAAAAGATTTTTTTTTCCATCATTTAGCAACAAGCCAAGAAAATTATAAGGAAATGTCTTACTTGATCTTTGTATAACCAAACTCCACTACTTGCAGGAAGTAATCCAAAGGGTACTCAAATGAAATTTGGCAAATGGACATGTTTCACTTCACAGAGTTTGGAAAATTAAAATATGTGCACCATAGCATAGATACATATTCAGGATTTTGTGTACACACTTCTAATCCCAGCACTCGGGAAGCAAAGCCAGGCAGATCTCTGTGAGTTTGAGGACAGCCTGGTCTACAGAATAAATTCCAAGACAGGATCATCCCAAAAAAAGTACACAGTGCTGTGGGATGTCTTTCTGTATACTGTGAATATGTGTTGCTCCCATTGGTTAATAAATAAAGGTGCATTGGTCTATGGCTGGGCCGAATGAAGCCAGGCAAGAAATCCAAGAGATGATAGAGAAGAAAGGCGAAGTCAGAGGGGCCGCCAGGAGAAGCACGATGTGACGGAACAGGTAGTGCCAGGAAACGACGTGGCAAAGCAGATTAATAGGAATGGGTTGAGTTAAGATGTGAGAGCCAGATAGCAAGAAGCCCGAGCCATAGACCAAACAGTTTGTAATTAATATAAGCGTCTGTGTGCTTGTTTGGGACTGAACCACTGCAGGACTGGGTGGGACAGAACTTCCACTAACAACACATAGAAACCCTGTCTTGAAAAACACAAAACAAGACAACACAAAACAAAAAAGGAAGAAATGATAGGATAAAAGGGTAGAGTATTGAATCTACTTTTAAACCAAAAAAGCAACTACTAGTCTCAAATATTTTTACATTAATGTGGATTTTTGTATATTGATACAAATTACAGGTTATTTTTGTTATACTGTGTATATGTTTCTACTCTTGTTTTAGCTATTTTTGTATATTGATACACATGTAAGGTTATTTTTGTTAGAACATACTGTATATACCTTTCCACTCTTGTTTGATGTATTGTACCTATGCAGCTCATTTAACAATGTAGTGGAAATTTCTTGTCCCTGAAAGTTATTATACAAACTATTTAGGATAATAGAGAAATGCAGGATAGTAGTTAGTCACCTATTACAATCAAACTTGTAGTCATGTTAGGTATGTTTTCAAGGTCAAACTGAGATAAATTTTAGATAGACAGGTGAACTTCAAACACTTCAGAGATCTACAGAATATGACATTTAAGATGTTTTAATAACATAAGGGTTTTGGTTTTTTGGTTGTTTTTTTTTTTTGGTTTGTTTGTTTTTTGTTTTGACAATGAGACATGTCTGCTCCCAGAAGCACCAATCTACTTCAGAGAAGATGATGGGCACTGAAGAAACTCTATATGGAGTTTGCTTTCTTTGTGGTAAAAGTTAGCCACTGGGAAAAAAACTGCCCTTGCCTCGACTGCTGACAGTATGCCGTCCAAATTGGATAAGCACTTACAAAAGAAAGTAACTGCCAAACTTTGCCAAGACAACGCGGGAGAGTCCTTCAAAATTCCTGCTTCACAGAAAAGTCTGTCAGACATTCTAGGTCTGTAGGCCAAAGATGGATGTTCCAATGTTGTAGAGGAACCTTGGGTAGCCAAGATGTTTCTGTCATTTCTTAGTTTTGGAAGTTGTTTGCTCTGCACTTCCTGTTTACTCAGGTAATAGTATATCCTTCTCAGGTCTTGGATAGAGTTGAAAACTAGATACTTATAGTTTTGAGAATAGTTATATTATTGTTATAGAATTGTTAACAAATTCAGAAAAGAAACTCACCAAAGAGGTGTAATGCAAATAAGGTTGAGAGACATGAATAGGTAGTCTTGGGTTGGTGATGCAAGTTAGAATAGAAAATAAATTAGGATTAACACTTTGGACTCCCCAGATAGGAAATAGATAGTGGAGTATTTTCTCTGAATTTGCCAAATGCAAATGGACTAGACATTGTTAATGTAATTCTTACCTGTATATATTTGTATATAGTTAGTGTACTTATTGTATATAGTTTTACTATGTTACAGTTTAAAACTTCCCTTTTTATTTAGACAAAAAGGGGTAAATGTGTGATATATTGATTCCATTGTTACAATAAAGTTTGTTTTGAATCAGAAGATGGAGCTAGCCACTAGCTTACCAAAATTAACCATAGAGGTTTTGGAGGACTGAGGAAGTAGTAAGGCAGGGCTTAGAGAGGATCTTGGCCCTTTTGAAGGAAGGAGCACTAGAGACAGGAAGTCACTGGTGGCTGCTCCCCTGCTTCTCTGATCTTGCAGGTTCTCACCCTGATATCTGACTCCTGATTTTTTACTGATAAAGAATAATTAGATAAGCTCATCACATTTTATCTACTGAATCATCCCCCCAACCCAGGTTCTTTTGTTGTTTAGATATGACTCATATAGCCCAGGCTGACTTTGAATTTCACAGAGGATAGTCTTGAACTTCCTGTTCCCTTGCCTTACCTCCTAAATGTTGGGATTACAGGTGTGCACTAGCACATGACATGATGCTGGGCATTGAACCTAGGTCTTCATGCTAGGCAAGCAACCTAGCAACTTAGCCCAACCAGGCCTTTGATTGTGTGTGTGTGTGTGTGTGTGTGTGTGTGTGTGTGTGTGTGTGTGTGTGTGTTGTATGTGGTGTGGAGGACAGAGGTCTATGTCAGGTGTCTTTCCCTCTCTCTGTCTCTCCACCTTATATTTTGAGTGTCTCTCACTGAACCAGGAGCTGTTGCTGGCTACACTGGCTGGCCAGCAAGCCCTGTGGATCCTCCTGTCTCTGAGCTTGGATTAGAGGGTGCTAAATCCCCTGGTTCAGATTTTTAAAAGATATCTCTATTTGTTATATGAAGAATGAACTAAAGGCAGCAGGCTTGGTGGTACATGCTTTTAATCCCAGTACCCAGGAGGCAGTGGTGGATTTCTGTTGAGTTCTTGGCCAGCCTGGCCTCAGAGAGTCCAGTTTACAGAGAGATACCATGTTTCAAAACAAACAAAAATAAATGGGGCGGGGTGGAGGTGGTGCACACCTTTAATCCCAGCACTCAGGAGGCAGAACCAGGTGGATCTCTGTGAGTTCGAAGCCAGCCTGGTCTACATAGTGAGATCCAGGACAGGCACCAAAACTACACAGAGAAACCCTGTCTCTGAGGGGGCGGGGAAACCCAGAAAGAAAACATTCTTGTAGGCTTTACACATGCAGGCTTTTGGGTGTTTTAGCTGCCTATTTTTGGCCAACCAGCCTCTTCCATCTAGGTTTCTTTGTCTTCTTGACATAGACTCTATAGCCTTTGAGAGTTTTTCTCAAATGACAAGATGTTTCAGGTTCATCCTGTACTTTTCCTGGCTAGATCTGATTGGCCTCTCTGAAAGGTTGAAATTTTATTTAGAGACCACTGTCTAAAGCCAGGAATGGTTGCCTGTATCTGTAATCCCAGGACTCAGGAGCCTGAGAGGCAAAAACAGGGTGGGTCTCCATGAGTAAGGCCCATACCAGCCAAGGCTCTTTAAGGATATTCTGTCTCAGCAGGGCAGTGGTGGCGTACTACTTTAATCCCAGCACTCGGGAGGCAGAACCAGGTGGATCTCTGTGAGTTCAAGGCCAGCCTGGTCTACAGAGTGAGATCCAGGACAGGCACCAAAACTACATGGAGAAACCCTGTCTTGAAAAACAAAACAAAACAAAACAAAACAAAACAAAACAAAACAAAAAGAGGCAGTATTTGAAGGTTGTCACTGATCTTCACCTACCTGCGGATGAATACCAAACACAATTGTTGGAATGGGCAGAGATGAGAAGGGGTTCCCTGAAATTGTGCTGTGTGAGGCTGAGTATTGGTACAGAATTAGGCTACATTGTCAAGGTCTTCAAAATTTTACAGTGGGAGTTCATCAAGGAGTTGGTACTGAATACGGTGTGTGATCTCTCCACACTGGCCAGTTTTGTATCTTTCATCAGCAAGATGAGTAATCTTCACAAAATCTTGCTCCCAACCCATGCTAGTATGTGTCTCCAAGGCCCCACCCACACTCCTGCAACGGGCAGTGCCACTGACAGGGACCAGAAGTATGTCCGAAAGATCTCTGTTCTCCAGACTCAACTGTCTCAAGCATGTCACCATAGATGATGTCTAGTTCCTCAGTGACCACATGAAACAGTTGCTTAGGTGTCTGAAGACCCCGTTGGAGTCCTTGTCCATCTCTTTCTGCAATTTCTCAAAGTCGGACTTGGAGTCCTTTGCCCAGTGGGGTCACTGCCAGCTTAAACATCTGTGCCTGAGAGGTGTCAATTTAAGTGATTTGAATTTCATGCCTCTCAAAGTTTTCTTACAGAGTGTTGGAGACACTCTGCTGACCCTGGAATTAGAAGATTGTAGGATGAAGGACCCTGACCTCAGGGTCCTTCTCCCTGTCCTGAGCCAATGCTCCCTGCTGACCAGCATCAATCTTTATGACAATGAAATTTCCACCAATGCCCTGAAAGACCTTCTGTACCACACTGCCAACCTAAGCCAGCTGAACGAGGAGCTGTACCCTGCTCCTAAAGAGGTCTATGATCACTCTGGTTATATCAGGGTAGAGGAATTCCCCCAATGTTGTACTGAGCTGAAGAGCACTTTCATCACCGTAAGGCAGCTCAGGTCAATCTGCTTAGGTAGCAATCCCTGTTATGGCTGTGGTGAGCATTATTTCTATGAACTGAAGACAACACTTTGAGTACTCTCATCACAAGAAGAATGCACTCACACCATCCTCCTGCCTCAGTCGTCTGTGTAGCTGTCCTAGCAATCGACTGCCACAGCATCTAGCACAACCCCTGATCAGGTTCATGAAGACCTGGACAGAGGTCCTTTAACAATGACATTCTCAGCTTTATGGTTCAGGTTGATCATGAGACACAGTCTTGTAAAGGATGAGCCAAATCACTTCAGAACTATGTTGTTCACACAAGAATAAAACTCAGGTGTGGCAGCTCACACCATAACAAAAGGCAGATGGAGACAGGAGGATTGCTGAGTATTGGAGCTCAGCCTAGGAAACATGAGTTCCAACTAACCTTAGGTACATCTTAAAACCCCAATCAAAACATTTAAAACATAAATACATAGATCGGCAATTAATGACTCAGTGTTTGTGGTTGGATCAATGAATGAGTTTTGTTGTTGATGATGTTCTTGCTTTTGTTTTACTTTTTCTTTCTTTCTTTCTTTCTTTTTTTTTTTTTGTTTGTTTTGTTTTTTCGAGACAGGGTTTCTCTGTGTAGCTTTGCACTTTTCCTGGATCTCGCTCTGTAGACCAGGCTGGCCTCGAACTCACAAAGATCCACCTGCCTCTGCCTCCCGAGTGCTGGGATTAAAGGTGTGCGCCACCACCGCCCGGCTTTGTTTTACTTTTTCTAGATAGGGTGTTGAAGACAAATTTCTAAACAGTCTTATTAAATAAGAAACACAGAGCCAAATACAGAGGTGCAGGCCGTAGAGATCAGAGCAATAGCCACCAACTAACCTTAGCTCACCACCTTGCTGTAGCTTCCCAAGAGAGGCTCTTTCTGTCTAACCTGTGCCCTTATTACCTTCCTGTTCTGCTTTCTCATTGGATCTAAGCCCAGCCACATCACTTCCTGAATATACAGAGCTCCAGGTCTCTATGGTTGGTACTGGGATAAAAAGTGTCTGTCATCAAGTTTTACTGTGTCTTTAAACACACAGAGACTCTCTCTGCCTAGTGATCAGATTGAGGGCATGTGCTACCACCACCTGACTTCTGTTTATGCCTCGCTATGACCTTTGATCTCAAAACAAACTATTTATTAACATACAAATAAAATGTCACATTTCAGGACAAATAAAATATCACCACAGGGTGTCTCTTGAAAAAAAAAGAAAGAAAACCAAAACAAAACAAAAAGATAATTTAAAAAAAATAATAAATGGGACCTGTCTGGACTTGGTGGTCTATAGATGTTTAATCCAGATGGAAGCAGAAGCAGGGGGATCTCTGTTAGTTCCAGGGTAGCCTGGTCTGTGTAGCAAGCTACACACTACAGAGTGTGACCCTGTCTAAAAAATAACAAAAAATCAGAAAGCATTTTGTTTTTTCCCCAGTACGTGGAAGTCAGAGGCTGATGGATCTCCCTAAGTTTGAGGCCATCCTGGTCTATAGAGAGAAACCTTGTCTCAAAAACAAAACAAAAAACAAACAGCAAAGAAAGTATGTGATTGAAAAGAAGAATCACAAAAAACAAAACAATGTGCTTATTGTAGTGGAAAAAAAATCTAAGAACTTAAGAAAATAAAATTACCTACAATTCGATCACTTCATGTCATTTGTTTGTTACTGTATTTTCTGCCGAAATTATTTAAAACATTTATTTATTTATTTTTGGTTTTTCGAGACAGGGTTTCTCTGTGTAGCTTTGCGCCTTTCCTGGAACTCGCTTATGTAGATCAGGCTGGCCTCGAACTCACAGAGATCCGCCTGGCTCTGCCTCCCGAGTGCTGGGATTAAAGGCGTGTGCCACCACCGCCCGGCTTAAAACATTTAAATTATAGCAGGACAGTGGTGGTGCACGTTTATTATTATTGTGCATGAAAAGAGAGAGGGGCGTGTTCACTTGGACAGGGTGTGTAGATGTGAGGACAACTCTGGACTGTGTTCTCTTCTTCCACCTTGTAGGAACCTGTGATCGAACTCAGGTTCTCAGGATAGGGTGGCAAACGCCTTTACAGTTCTGAGGCATCTCGGAAGCCCTTGATTCCATTTTTTGTTGTTATTGTTTTGTTCCCAAATGTATATATACTTCTAATTTTTCTCTTGCACACACTCAGATTTGTTCCCGAAAACTGACTACGTGGTTTTCTAATTTAAAAAAGCCCCACCTATTTAAGGTCATCATTCGAAGCCACGCCCCCAAGCGCCGACGGCGTTCTCTTAAAGCTCTCCTGGAGCGGACGTGACGTACAGCACATGCGCATGACCGGAAGGCGAGCCCGGAAGAGGCCGATTGGGTCGGCGCGCCGCACTCTCTCCCGGAAGTGGCAGCTTCCTCAGCATGCTGGCCGAGCTGGGTTTCATCGGGACCATCGGCGAAGATGACGAGGTGCCGGTGGAGCCCGAGTCGGACTCCGGAGACGACCAAGAAGAGGTGGGAGCCGGCAGCCGGGAGCGGCGGGGGAAGGAGTGGTGGGCGGAACGTGCTGCGGGCCCCAGACCCCCTCAGCGTGCAGAGGTGCCCCGAGCAGGCCGTGTCACCCAGGCTGGGCAGAGTCGACCGCCGCAGGCGGAGTCGGTCTTGCTGCCCGTCCGGTCGGGAACACCACGCTCCCTTCTATCCGTCAAGTCCCCCGGGCGGTAGCCGTGGATTGGGCCGTGGGGATGTAGCCTCGAGCAAGTGGTTGTAGGGCGAGTGGCGAGAAACAGACAAACCAACCAAGAACCGCGTGCCTCACACTGGCATCTACCTGCCTGACATGGCCCTTCGGATGGCCCACGGCCTCTGCAGTCGAATTCCGAGAAAGCTAAACTCTCAGGCTCCAGTCTTTGCATCTCAGGATGGAGCGGTGAGGTTGTTTTGGACGGTTTGTCCTCCCCCATCTGGTGGCCTGCAGGCCAGCTTAGGAGTCTGTCCAAGGCTTCTCCGACCATCCACGCTCTTCTTTGTTCCTCCCACTGCCGAGTCACACCTGGACACCGGCGACCCTCACAGACTTCGTTTCCAGTTTGTCCCGTCCCCTTCTAGTAGCGTTCTCACCTAGCAGCAGAGTGGTCTTCTTCCCATGATGCAGTCCCGTTGGAAGTGCTCCTTGCTCCCAACCCTGCAGCTGCTTTCCTGTGGCTTTCAGAGTGGGTCAGGCTCTGCCCTTTACACCATTTGACTCTCACAGCCCTTGCCATTCATCGACTGTCCACTGTTCCCGTGTAGTGTGGTTTGTGTCCATGCTTGAAGGTGTATATGCACCTGCAGGTGCAGTGTATGTGTGTGGGTATGTGTAACGTTGGCTGGCCAAAGGTTCGTGAACACCAAGTGTCATTCCTCAGGAGCTGTCCACCGTATTTCTGGAGACAGTTCTCTTACCAGAACCGAGCGCACTGGCTAGGCTAGGCTAGGCTGGCCAGTCAGCTCCTGGAGATCTCTCTGTTTCTGACTTCCCAGAGGTTTTGGAGACATGGTTTCTCTTTATAGCCAGAGCTGTCCTGGTACTCACTTTGTAGACCAAACTGGCTTCAAACTCAGAGATCCACCTGCCTCTGCTGGGATTAAATGTGTGCACCACCACTGCCCGGCCAGATGATGACTCTATCTTTAGCACCTAGTGTGGAGCCTTGTGTATATTAGGTACTCAATAGTTATACCTTTTTTTTCCGGCTTTAGTGAGGTATATTAATGTAATTTTGTATTACTACAAAATTAAGTATAATTAAGGTATACAGTGTGATGATCTGATATGTGTATATTGTTATTGTTATCTACTAATATAAATATTATTGAGATGGGGTCTCCCTGCACAGCCCTGCCTGTCCATTATGTAGACCAGGCTGGCTTCAAACTCACAGATCCACCTGCCTCTGCCTCTGAGTGCTAGGATTAAAAGTGTGTGCCATCATGCCCAGCCTCATGTATATATTATGAAGTTAGTCTTTTTTTGTTTTTCCTTCTGGCAGTACTGGGAATTGAACTTGAGGCCTCACTCATGCTAGGCAAATGCTCTGTCACTGAACTACAGTCCCCAGCTCATGTATCTTAGTTAGGTTTCTGTTGCTGTGATAAAACACCATAGCCAAAAGCAGTTTGGGAAGGAAATGGTTTATTTCAGCTAATAGTTCTACATCACAGTCCATCATGATAGGCAGTCAGGGCAGGAACTCGGCAGGAACCTGGAATCAGGCACTGAAGCAGAAGCTATGGAGGAATGCTTACTGGCTTGCTCAGCCTGCTTCCTTGCACAAATCAGGACCACCTGCCCAGGGGTGGCACCTCCCACGGTGGGCTGGACCCACCCAGATCAATCATTAATTGTTGGACAGACGTTTTGGAATGAAGCTCGTTGGGTGCTTGATCAGATTTTCTATAGACCACTGACTTCGCACTGACAGGTGTGTCAAACCTGCCAGCACAGTTGTGGGCTGGCACTTCCGTGTTGTCTGTCCATATTTGCCTTATGTGTTTCTTTTGTATTCTGTGTGCTGATTTGAACCCAGGGCCTCTTACACGCTAGGCAGGCTCTCCCCACTGGTCCATGCTTCCAGCTGTGGGTTTCTCCTATTAGGCCTCCTCCCTTCCTTCTTCCTGTTCTGCTATCCCTCCATCTCAGCCTGTCTCTTTCACCTCTCCTCCTCGCAGGGACCCATTGTGCTGGGCCGGAAGCAGAAAGCTCTGCAGAAGAACCGCAGTGCTGATTTCAACCCTGACTTCGTTTTCACTGAGAAGGAGGGCATGTATGATGACAGCTGGGCCATGGCTGATGTCATGAACCAGCTCAAGAAGAAGGTGAGGCTAATGGGGAGACAGTTAAGGCTGGACAGAAAGTGGGTATTAGGACAAACCCTTATTTATCTCATGGCCCTTTACCTTTATTTTTTTTATTTTATTTATTTATTTATTTATTTATTTATTTATTTATTTATTTATTTATTTATTTATTTATTTATTTGGTTTTTGAGACAGGGTTTCTCTGTGTAGCTTTGTGCCTTTGCTGGATCTCGCTCTGTAGACCAGG